GAGTTTTTCCTTCCCACTGTCGCCAAAGTGCTTGCTCATAGGGGGTCATATGATTGTTGGGGTTTTCTCTGTATCTATGAAGCGCCTTGAGGCGACTTTTGTTGTGATTTGGCGCTATATAAATAAAATTGAATTGAATTGAATTGAATTGAACATGTTACATATCAAATTTTTAAAGCAAGAGTTAAGCAAGAGCTCCTTATATTCAAACATCTGTCGGAATGTAGGTAAGTTACATAAGACACTAAGTTAGGCACAGCAATTAGGGTTCTTTCAAGTGTTGAAAATATTGCAACTTCCAATGATGTTATCCTATTTTTAAGTAACATCAACCCCCTAACTTCTAAACTACCAAGTTTAAAAACTAAGTTTCAGGAGTTAATACATTTTTTAAGCGAAGTCAAACTGTATAAACTTTTGAATTCATGTTTCTATCAATCAGTATGGAACTTCTGTGTCATGTTCCTTTTATAAAGTAATTCACGAGAATCCAAGCTGGTTAATTTAATTTATACATATATTTTACACACAAGGACAGTGAAAGAATTTACAAATTCTCAGTTCATACATAAATGTAAAAAAAGAGAGAGCTGTCCAAATTACATCATCTATAATACTGTGTAGACATGTTTAACATTAGCACAGGGGAACTCGGGGAGGGGAAAAAAGGAGAAAAGATACAAAAAAATATGTATATCTGTATAAATATAAATTCAAGAGTAACAGTATTTTATCACACATTAAAGACAAGCAAAGACTTTGTAGAGTAAAAACACAAAATGTAAAGGATACATGAGTAAGTCTTGAGAAGAAATCAGAATAGAGGACATAAAGTCAGTCAAAGATTGTCAGTCACTACTCTCAAACCTTAAAAACAGAAAAACGAAACATATCCAAGAAACACCTCACACACTTTGTGGCACTCACACACTCAGCAGAGAGCCATGGCTGTAATTATAAAGCTTTTTTTGTTTTGTTTTATCTTTTTTGTTAAAGGAGCAGTTCATCCTGGTCAGTGTGGATTGGCAATGCAGTCAATGATATTTAGAGAAGTGTTAGATGTCTGGACCAACTGAGAGAGAAAAAAATGAATGGGGAAACAGCAACAGAGCAGTGAGGCGATGCATCACCACATCATCTGTGATCGATCCCATTTTATCAGCTCGCAGACAAAACTTTGGCTGTGTTTACACACACAATGCTGCTACTCTACCTTAAACCACCACTGGACACAGTCATAACAAATAGCTAAACTATGTTTTGAACAATGCAACAGATGATTAAATCTAATGTGAAATTTGAACTTCGGTCTGGAGAAAGAAAAACAAAAAAACAACCAAGGAGCAGCTTCCGAAGTTTAAACAACACCTGAGATGTAACACTGTACAGTGGTGAAAACCCTGTTTCCCTTTCCTAAAACAATGCGTAGCAACTAAAAAAGTTACAAAAAAATAATAACTGAAAAAAAGCTATCTGAATGCTGTGTATTGACCATTACTGTAATATTCTTAACATGTCAAAACTGTGCATATGATAATATTGTAAATAACTTTGTAATTGTCATCTTTGTATGTTTTTTTTTAAAATCACGGTTAAAGACGGTCTTGACCGATCCGTGCACTCCAATTTAAAATTTGATTCATTAAAAAAAATTAATAAATAAAATCTACAATAAACAAAGCTCTAGATTAGCAAAACAGCATTACTGCTATTTTTCAATTTTTTTAAAGATATTGCAGTAATATTGCACTGTTGACTGTTGACTGTTAATTGAAAATCTGATCTGCTCGTTCTAAATTAAAGAGCGACTGTCGTGTGTAAGCACAGCAAGCGCTGATGTGAAATAGAGCACGCTCTGTTGCCTTCCCCCAATCAAGAATAACAACAGGTATAAGAAGTCTCTGAAAAGTATGTCGTTTAACATTGTGTTGCTCGTGTTAGAAAAGGCACGTTTACAGGGAAAAAATGCAAAACAACAAAAATCAACTGTAACAAATCTCATCCACACAGAATCGCTCGAAAGCTGTGACCTCTTCAGCGTCCCCAGTCATTGAGAGTAATTTAGAATACTCCTGGAAAGTTTGGGATTAATTTACCAAACAGTTCAATTCGGCAGAATTGCTGGCTGATTGTCTGTACACAAGAATCTACTGGATGTTAGCGTCATCTGATGAGCAGCAGTCCAACACACAACATGGCACTGGTCTGTAGTAAAAAGTACAGAGTTATACACACAAACACTTGAACTTGTGGTCATTTTGGATAAATAAAAGAACATGTACCAAAACACTAACTCTTTGTTGCAGTTGTAAATAGAGAAAGCTATTCATATTCATATTCTTTTTTTCCTCTGAATTTCCCGAAGCCAACTTTCCTCCCTGCTCTTCATCTCCTAACTCGATTCCATCTCTCTCTCTGAAGCAGAAACACTTCTGACTCCCCTCCTCTACACTCAGGGCCAGCCTGGCTGCAGCAGGAGAAGAGCCTACCTTCGAATGTGCTGCGACACTTCTCATCATCCACACCCCCACGCTCGTCGTCGAGTGGCATCACGCACGCTGATATTCAGTTAGAAAGGCACTCAGCTCGTTACTTTCAAACCCCAGACACACTTAAGTCAACACTTCTTTCACCACAACCACAAAAAAAACATGTAATAACAATTATAATAATAATGTAAATAATATTAAACACAATAATAAGCAGCATGATGTAACTGAAAAGAGAATATATATATATATATATATATTTATATAAACCAATATATTTGTACATTTCAGAACTAAATTTTTAAAAGGATAGTAAGTGTTTAGAAAACTATATATAATGTTTTTTTGTATTGCACATAGTCATACTATCACATGTTTGGCTGTTGTAAGGACATGTTGCTTTGTTTTGTTGTTTTTCTTTCATGATATCCTCCAGATCACAGGAGATTGGTTAACTTACAATTTACAAAGTTACAACTGTCGGACTGATCTTTGCTAAATAGCTGTACAAGTGTGCATCTTAGTGAATATGTGTGTGTATTTGGAGCTTTGACTCTCAGTCCAACCCAACTAACTAAGCCTAATCTGACCCAACAGATCCTGTATCGATCAGCGGGGTTCTCTTAATTCTCTTGAAGACTGAGAAAATATGTGAAGTGCTAGCAACCTGCCCCACAGTAAACAGATAGTATAATTTCAATACAAGAGCTTCTTTCATCTGATCTAACTCAAGAGAAGAATTTACTGCAAACTAAACCTGGCTTGACTTTTAGAGCCCAATTTAGAGCCAAGTTAGGACAGAAACTCTGTGATTGGAAGCATTTTAACAACAAGAATATTTCTAACAGAAAACTGAGTTAAAAAGCATCAGGCTCCAAAACATTACACTGAGCTGAAGTTGGCACAAAATGAGGCAGGTGTGGATATATAAGATTCTGAAAACTAACTGCTGCAACAACAAAAAAAGGACACATTTTTCTCTCACACCACAAGAATGCAACTCTTTTTTTGTGGGCGAGTGTGTGTCAAAGGACTCTGGAAGAATTTCTTTGTCCACCTAGTGTAAGCCAACCTCTTGAAACCTCAATATAGACACTGAAATCAACCTGAAATCCAACATCCCTACACTACTGAGCTGTGTGTGCGTGTGTGTGTGCGTGTCTTTGTAGCTTATTTTGCAGCAGCTGTGAAAACAGGCGCAATCAACAAGTAAACTGGTTCCACTCTTCACATTGCTGTGTCAAATATTTGAGTGTAAAGCAGCTCAGTTAGAACAGGAAGTAGATCCTGTGTCTGAAGGTCACTGTGGAGGTGTTTTAATTGTCCGTAAGACCAAAGGTGGAAGGAATGGGACAAGAGGCTCCTGGAAGAACCAGAATCTCCTTTCGACCAGTACAGTGTCTGAGTCCTGCTCTCCTGACCACCTACGCTTCACCCTCGATGTGGGTGCTCACACCTGCCGTTTCTTGGTCCCAGATGAGGGGGATGTTTTGTATATATGCATTCCACAAGGGGGCAGTGTTCATCTACCCTGTTCTTGCAGTTCAACAATCACAGAGACACATGCACACCTCTACATATACATGAGAAGAGAAGTGATAGGTAGGAGGGTCATGAGCTGAATGACAAGGGCAGCTAAGAGACACGAGCCACTCAGGAAGACTGTCAGC